CTCTCATTGGATTTTCGAGTCGCTTCTAAATCTTCACCCATCATCGTTGCTAATAATTATTCTATGAACGAAAAAAATTTTTAATGGTCGAATTACTTAAAATATATTGTTCAGTTCAACTGATTGTATGTAATAAAGAATAATATTAGAGAGCAACGCTCTTTTTTAAATGTGATACATTTTTAAATCGAGTGCGTGCTCAAAGCATACAAAACAGGGTAAAGAATGTGCACAAAGCACGAGTAAATGTCTGACCTCACCTGTACAGTGAACGTAAAGCATACGATTAATACACTATAAATACAACATTCGAAAACAAATATTTTTATTAAAAGTTCTATCTTACTGTGATATATTAATAAAATGTCTTCAGCTCCGAACATTATGGGTCATGATAACGTAACGATGATGGGTGAAGATTTAGAAGCGACTCGAAAATCCAATGAGAGTATCATTGAAGAGTTTACTGTGGCGATGTCTGAGAGAGATGAAAATGAAATCCGATTGTCCATAAATGGTGATCGTATAATCAGCGATTTATCTCCACGAATTACAATTACATTTTATAACATTTGTAAAAAAATTGATGTTCCAGGAAAAATGATTGATCCAAAATCAAAAGAAAAAACAATTCAGCAAACTTTACTTGATAATATATCTGGACAACTTCATTCAGGAGAAATAGTTGCACTTATGGGACCATCAGGTTGCGGTAAAACAACATTGCTCAATATATTAGCTGGGAGAAACTTAGATGGTGTTAGTGGAAATATTTGGCTTAATAATCAACTTTATGAAAAAAGTATGAAACGTAGATTTGGTTATGTTTTACAAGAAAATATTTTTTTCGAGGAACTCACTGTTAAACAACAATTAACATATACAGCTTTACTTCGATTACCAAATACTTTAACACGAAAAGATAAATTAGCTCAAGTCGAACAAATTATTCAACAATTACGTCTTGAAAAATGTTCTAATGTTCCCATTAAACTTATTTCTGGTGGAGAAAAAAAACGTGTTAATATCGGCACAGAATTATTAACTAATCCCAGTGTTATATTTCTTGATGGTAAATTCCATTGAATATTTATCTTATTTAATCTTATCTTAGTTTATATATAGAACCAACATCAGGATTAGATAGTACATCAGCAGTACTTCTTCTTTCTGTTCTTCGTGAATTAACTTTACAAGGTAAAACAATTATAACATCAATTCATCAACCATCATCTCAAGTTTTTCAATCGTTTGATCAACTTATTTTATTAGCAGATGGAAAAACTGTTTTTATGGTAAAATATTTTATCGAAATCTAATTACCAACTATTATCAATTTTTAAATAAAAGAAAGGATAAATATTTTTAGAATAACTTTTCATAAGAATAAATTAGAGATCTATGGTTTTTACCATTAGAGAGAGAAGACAAAACTGCATCGATTTGTAAGGTTAAGGCATTTCTGACAACAATTCCACAGTTCATTTTCAAGCCACTAGCCGCGCTGCCAGAATTTTTAGACTGACAAGGCTCAAATAGATTGTGGAGGGGCTCAGCTACTTTATTAATAAGAACTTTGAAAAAATCTGGGAGACTCAAACAGGTTCTGATGGGTGTGGGGTCCCTCCTAGCCTCCGTGGGATCGACATGACAAGCCACTGTTTTAAAGTTAAAGGTTATTTAGATGTGAAACAAGTGGATCTTTCGTCAAAAATGATCGAAAGAAACGATTCTTTTCTTAAAAATAGGCGGAAGATACACACTAAAATGTTCATAACTCATGATTACCTAAAGATTAAAACGTCAAATTTGTACAGCTAGTAGATCTTGAGTTAGATATTCTAGTCCTATACTGAAAATTAAAATTTCATAAGATTTACGTTATGTGATGACTTCTCTTTTAGAATTTTATTGTGAAACTTTGGAATTAGTTGCCAGAGAAGTCTAAAATAAACGATTCAATGCAGTTTTGTCTTCTCTTTTCAACAGTGAAAACCACAGAACTCTAACTTATTCATATCAAAAGTTATTCTAGAAATATTTATCCTTCTTTTATTTTGAAATGGATAATAGTATATTTTCTTGTCTTTTTTAAGGGTGAACCGGGAAATGCTATTGATTATTTTGCTACATTAGGTTATGAATCACCTCCACGATATAATCCAGCTGATTTTATAATGGATCTTGTTAATCAAGATACAAAAGTTCGTGAAGAATTGAAAGAAGCTTATATTAAAAATAAATATTTTATAAATAAAAATAAATCATATAATCAAATGGAACAATCTTCACAATTATATTTAACTGAATCTCAAAAATATCTGATTGGTGAACCAAATGGAAGTGAAATTGATTTAATTAATGAAAATAATATTCAATTAATCACGGAAAATAATAACTGTAAATGGCCAATTAGTTTTACTGCACAAATATATATTCTTTTCTCACGTAATTGGATATTAACAAGTAAAGCGCAATTTAGTAAACTGAACTGTATTCAAGCATTATGTATGTCCATTTTATATGGTCTTTTGTGGTTACGTATGAAATTAAAAGAAGATGCTTTAAGAGACCGTATTTCGTTCATATTTTTTATGATGATATTTTGGCCATTGGAAATATGTTTTCAAGGAATATTATCTATTCCAAGTGAACGTTCTGTTATTAATAAAGAACGTGCAAGCGGTTCATTTCGTTTATCAGCTTATTATATTGCAAAGTGTTTATCTGAAAGTCCACTTAAACTTATTTTACCAAGTATTTCATTTACTATTGCATATTGGATGACAAATTTAAATCCGAGTTTTCCTATATTTCTTGGTATTCTTGCATTTTTATTAATGGTTGTTCTTGTTGCTGAATCATTTGGAGTTTTACTTGGAGCATTATTTCGAAATGTGGGAGGAGA